ATAACATGCATCGTCCAAGGCTTCAACTCTGTCACATTACATGCAATTGGTTTATGCCTTTGGTTTAACTATTCCATACAGGTAGATCGTCACAGGGGGTACTTCAAGGGGAGGCGTTGTTACCCTTGCTAATCGTGGGAATATAGTTGGTTTATGAAGAAAATGGCACGTTTTATGGTGTTTGTGGTGTAGTTTGATATTGAAGGAAGTTTCGCTTGTGGCTTTACAACACGTGTAATTATCGTAGTTGTAGTGTTGTAGTAGTGTTATTTTCTATAGGGGTTCTGGGGTTTAATATTTTGGGGGGGTTCGAAAATTCGGTACTTCGAGACTTCAATATTTTGAGGTACTTTTGGATTTCGGCAGTTCGGTAATTCGGCAGTTTGGGGTTCGGTAATTCGGTAGTTTGGGGGTTTGGTAGTTCGGGGGTTCAGTAGTACGGGGTTCGGTAATTATAGGTCTCGATAGTTAAGGGTTTAGTAATTAGGAAGTTTGGTAAATCGGAACCTTGGCATATAGGAAGTTTCTGTAATTCGGCATATTGTGGAACTTCAATATATCGGAAGTTTGGTAATTCGGAACTTGGGATAGTTCGGCACCGTAGTCTGTTGTAAGTCGTTCTTGTCACTACACTTTCACCACCACACGCGACATTTTCACCATATCACCATCATCACACCACCACACCTTTACCAGACCACACCTTCACCACCACACCATGCACCACACCACTACCACCATGCACTACCTTCACACTACACCATCATCACCACACCTTCTTCATCACACCTTTACCACCACACCCACACCACTACTACACCATACCTCCACACCACACCTTCACCACCACACCATGCACCACACCACTACCACCATGCACTACCTTCACACTACACCATCATCACCACACCTTCTTCATCACACCTTTACCACCACACCACACCCACACCACTACTACACCATACCTCCACACCACACCTCACCACCACACCTTCACCACACCGCCCTCCCTTAACCCTGACCTACGACCTATCCTGAGAATCAATAGGTTTATATCTCTCCCAAGGTCACCGTCCCTCTGAGCATGGGCGGAGGCGTGTGGTCTGGGGCAGTGTGCTGATAGATAGATAGATAGATGTAGCTAACAGATAGTGTTGACAGATCGCAAGATAGATAGATAGACAGATAGATAAATAGGTAGATACATGTCGATAGATAGAAGTAGCTAACGGATAGATAGTGTTGACAGATTGCAAGATAGATAAATAAACTGACAGATAGATAGAATTTACCACCAGATTGATTGTGTGACAGACAGACAGACAGGTATTCCCAGGTACAAATTTCACCTTATCAAGTTCTAAATCCTCAGGTGATTTTTCTTGGGAAGTTAAGACTACCTTAACTAGATACCTTCACTTAGCACCACCAGTTAGGAGGCAAAATTAACACTGAGACTCTACCTTAACTAGATACGTTCACTTAGCACCACCAGTTAGGAGACAAAATTAACACTGGAACTCTACCTTAACTAGATACGTTCACTTAGCACCACCAGTTAGGAGACAAAATTAACACTGAGACTCTACCTTAACTAGCTACCTTCACTTAACACACCAGTTAGGAGACAAAATTAACACTGAGACTCTACCTTAACTAGATACCTTCACTTAGCACCACCAGTTAGGAGACAAAATTAACACTGAGACTCATCTAGATAATTTCTCTACGCTACCCTTGTCTCCTAACTAGTGTGTTAAGTGAAAGTATCTAGTTAAGGTAGAGTCTAGATGTTAATGTTGTCCCCTAACTGGGGACCACTATGCGGGAGGGAAGGGTTAAGGGGAGGAGATAGGGGGAAGGGGTAGGAAGAGGACGGATAGGGGTAAGGGGAAGGGGAGGGAGGGGGTAGGTGAAAGACGAGGGGGTAGGGGTGGAGGGAAAGGAGGGTAAGAGGAGATGATGGGGAGGAATTAAGGGGAGGGTGGAGGAAAGAAAGGGAGGGGAAGAGGAGGGGAAGGGGAAGAAGAGGTGGGGGAGGGGAGAGGAGGTGGGAGGAGGGGGGGGGGAAGAGGAGGTGGGGTAGGGGGTGAAGAGGAGGTGAGGAGAGGGGGAAGAGGGAGGTGGGGGAGGGAGGGGGGAGGGGGAGGGGAAGAGGAGGTGGGGGGGGAAGAGGAGGTGGGGAGGGGAAGAGGAGGGGAGGAAGAGGGAGGTGGGGGAGGGGGAAGAGGAGGTGGGGAGGGGGGGAAGAGGAGGTGGGGGGAGGGGGGAAGAGGAGGGGGTGGGGGGGAGAGGGGGGGAGGGGGAAGAGGAGGTGGGGAGGGGAAGAGGAGGTGGGGTGGGGGGTGAAGAGGAGGTGGGGAGGGGGAAGAGGAGATGGGGTAGGGGGGGGATGGGGGAGGAGGTGGGGTAGGGGGAAGAGGAGGTGGGGAGGGGAAGGGGGAGGGGGGAAGAGGAGGGGGGGTGGGGGGGGAGGGGGAAGAGGAGGGGTAGGGAGGAAGAGGAGGTGGGGAGGGGGAAGAGGAGGTGGGGTAGGGAGGAAGAGGAGGTGGGGTAGGAGGTGGGGGAGGGGAAGAGGAGGTGGGGTAGGGGGAAGAGGGAGGGGGGGGAGGAGGGGTGAAGAGGAGGTGGGGGAGGGGGGGGAAGAGGGAGGGGGGGTAGGGGAGGAAGAGGAGGTGGGGAGGGGGGGAAGAGGAGGTGGGGTAGGGGGGGGAAGAGGAGGTGGGGTAGGGGGGAAGAGGACGTGGGGGAGGGGGAAGAGGAGGTGGGGTAGGGGAAGAGGAGGTGGGGGGAGGGGAAGAGGAGGTGGGGTAGGGGGAAGAGGAGGTGGGGTAGGGGGAAGAGGGGGTGGGGTAGGGGGGAAGAGGAGGTGGGGTAGGGGGGAAGAGGAGGTGGGGTAGGGGGGAAGAGGATGGTCAGGGAGGCGGAGGTGGGGTTATCTCTGCCACTTATATTATTATGTAAGATGTTGTAAAACCATTAAGTGACTGACTGACAAACATTAAAGGTGCCATAAAATTCTACCTTGTAAATCATCACTATCACAGTTCTCAAGACGGAGTTTATTTCACTTGAAGATTAATCACCCTGACTTAACCTGACCTAACCAAACCGAACCTAACCTGACCTGACCTGACCTAACCAAACCGAACCTAACCTAACCTACCTTATGGAGAGGGGGCGGGCGGGTACACAGTGGGAATTATAGTCGACAAGTTATATACAAAGTGACAAGTACAGTTAAGTACATGTTAGTAGTACAAGGTAGTTAAGTACATTTGATAGCCCCTTAGTACAGGTAAGGTCAGAGTGGTTTGTTTTGTTACTTTTATCAGGTAATTGATGTATGGTGATAAGATTGCCTCCCTACTCATACACTACCATACACTACAAGACACCACCATACACTACGAGACACCACCATACAGCACCATACACTACGAGACACCACCATACACTACGAGACACTACGAGACACCACCATACACTACGAGACACCACCATACACCACCATACACTACGAGACACCACCATACACTACGAGACACTACGAGACACCACCATACACTACGAGACACCACCTACACCACCATACACCACCATACACTACGAGACACCACCATACACCACCATACACTACGAGACACCACCATACACCACCATACACTACGAGACACCACCAGACACCACCATACACTACGAGACACCACCATACACCACCATACACTACGAGACACCACCATACACCACCATACACTACGAGACACCACCATACACTACGAGACACTACCATACACCACCATACACCATCATTATCATCACTATTTTCATTTGTAGTAGTAGTATCATCATTACTATCATCATCACTATTATCACCACACACACACACACACTCATAGATGGAGACTGGAGTTAACATTGTAGACGCGGTGTGAAGATGGATTGGTGCTGGATTAGGTCGGTTACTGTCCGGTGTTGAGCTGTGCGTTACAGGGAGCCGTCAAATATGTCTTCGGTTAATATTTTCTCCTAACTTGGCATTAAAAATATTTATACCTGAATGATTGAAGAAATATTACGAAGATAACTACACAAAATGGCGACACATATATACCTAGAATACGTAGGTTGAGTTAGGTTATTTTTAAAGATTTGTAAAAGTAGGGATGGCAATCTGAGTAACTTCAACGCTATTTTCACTGACATTTTAAAAGACAGTCGGTTACGTCTTCTCTCTCACCAGATAAGGGGAATAATATCCACGTAAGATTGTGTGAGAATGTGAGACCTATTTAGTGACCTGTTTTGGGGTTTAGTCGACGTCCACAACCTTTCCAACACCACCACTTCTTTTTTTTTAAACGATTAAGTTGTCGTTTTGAGGAGCCATTTACCATTCGGTTCATTACGCTCTGGTGTTGTTAGTTTCCTGGCGTCTACCGGGTGTAACGTGAACGGTGACATAATCCACAGAATGTTGTGAAGGGATATTAGTGTACTATCTGAAAATGGCAAGTTACAAGAGGCTAATTTCACCGGCTCGCAGGTACTATCGCATTACCAACTGTTGGGTGACGCCGATGAGATAGTTTTTTTTAGTAGTTTTAGGTCAGATGGTGTAGTAGGGTTCAGTATTCAGTAGGGAGGAGAGAATAGGATATGCCTTCAATAGCATGAGTGATGAGAGGCAAGGTTACCGAGCTACACTTGAAGATCGATAATCGGGCTGAGGGTCGCGCGGTAAGGTTGGTATTTTGTGGTAGAGTTGCCTTGTGGGAGAACTATTTCTTAAATATATGTAATTGTGTTATGATAATACTGTGTATTTAGATGTTTTTTCATATATAATGACAATTTATTGACAGTTTGGTATGTTATTTTAGGTGATATTTATATAAGTTTAAGCAGTAAAATAGATGCTGTGTGTTAGGAGGGGGGCGGTGGCATCCAGCTGAGTGACGTATTGGTGACGTGGGCGCGGGGCCCACCGATGCGCCGACTCCCGCCGGTTGAAGTTGTCGTCAGGCGCGCCTCGTCGAGAACAGACGTGCCGCTGTGCCCTTTAGTGTCTCGACCAACAAACCCTTCACACACGGTGAAGAATGTGCTTGTAGCGAAAACCTACACAAGTCCAAGAGGGGCAACATTGAGCGAGTGAACGAGTGTACAAAGTGAACGTAGCCTAGTGGCCTGTACATAAGTGTGTACATACAGTGATTGTTGGTGCTGGTTGTCAGCCAGCGCGTACGCCGTTGTTCGTGGATACTGTGTATCCTCTGCTGCCGTCCTCCTGCTGAGCGCCCACACCCGTCACTCCAGCAGCCATGGCCGATGTAAGTAGCAGCTCGCACGCCCGCGCTGCCCTCGATGCCCGTTTGGCCGCCCCGTGTAGCGCGGGAGTATGGGCGTCCGGGCCAGGTGGCGGGGGCCCTTTGGGCCTACACGGGCGTGTACTATCTAGGTGTAAAAGGTGTATAGTTGTAGATTATGTTGAAGTAAAGGTGGCGCCGGGGTGAGGGTGGCATTGATCTGGCCGGTGCGGGCCACCCCCCCTCCCGGCCCGAGAATCAATACACCGCCACAGTAGGAGCGCTGCCCCCTCCCCCACACCACTACCTGCTGTGTGTCACACTACATGTTATGTCACACCACCTGTAATGTTTAACACCACAACCTACAGTGCCATCCTCAACACCATTACATGACGCCCCCAACATTACATGTTGATTCTCGACGTGTGATAATCTTTTCACAGTAACTACTGTTGAGGGCGTGGTTAACACTACCATCACAGCGTCTTGGTCAAAACCACGAGATGATACAACCTAAGACCTACACCCCAGCTAGGTTTCAGGTGCCACTAAAACCACACTAAGTACATCTCCACTTCCACCACTAAGACTATCACTACCATACCACCACACACTTGACCATTTTTAGTACCGAGACCAAAACTGGTTCTCTAAAACATATTGTATGTAAATTTATGTATAAAATATTCTTATTTAAACCTTTACCACTTAAAAATGACTTGGTTACTCAGAGCCTTTTAAAGTATTTTGGGGACGGAAAAGTATTATATATTAGACTCTGGGTTGATCTTAAAAGTACGGGGCCCAGGGCTAGTTTTTATGTGATTTTGTTAAGTTCTCGTAAATGTTAATGCTGGTTATTAAGTTATGTTGGGTTGTAAGTATATAAGGTTATGTTGTGGTAATGTATTTTGGTTCATATATCCGTGTTATATACTGTATAGACTCTATATACGGGTAATATGTATATTTCGAGTTTAAAAAAGTATACGTAATTTTTAAGCGTGATTGTTTTAACTTATGGTATTTTTGGTTATTTTCCCAGGTGTGATTTTAAGGTTTTCTGAAAGGTCTTACGAGCAATTTTCCTCTTAACCGGCGAGCTTAGTTAAAAAATCATACGTCACAACATGGTATCAAAATTACATGGATTTTCGACCTTAACTAGATACGTTCATAAGTCCATAATAGTGTACGATCGTAAGTCTAATCTGTATAAGTTTTAGCTTGTTAAATTTTGTCTTAATTTACGAGGGACAATTCAAATACGACACCTTTGAGAATCGGTCAGAAAGGATAAGGTTCAGGTGATTAGCCAGTCAGGGAAAGGGTTAAAGTTCAGGTGATTAGCCAGTCAGGGAAAGGGTTAAAGTCCAGGTGATTAGCCAGTCAGGGAAAGGGTTAAAGTTCAGGTGATTAGCCAGTCAGGGAAAGGGTTAAAGTCCAGGTGATTAGCCAGTCAGGGAAAGGGTTAAAGTCCAGGTGATTAGCCAGTCAGGGAAAGGGTTAAAGTTCAGGTGATTAGCCAGTCAGGGAAAGGGTTAAAGTCCAGGTGATTAGCCAGTCTCATACTAACGCTAATCGGTTATCATGACCACTAATCCCAGGCAATGGGGTAATATAATGACATATCAATGGAATTCGATAACTGTAGTAGGTAGCGTGGTTTAGGGGCGTAGCGCAGTTAAGAGTGTAGCGTGGTTTAGGGGCGTAGCGCAGTTAAGAGTGTAGCGTGGTTTAGGGGCGTAGCGCAGTTAAGAGTGTAGCGTGGTTTAGGGGCGTAGCGCAGTTAAAGGTGTGGCGGTTTAGGGCGTAGCTGCGGTTAAGAGTGTAGCGTGGTTTTAAGAAGGGCGTGGCGCAGTTAAAGGTGTGGCGTGGTTTTAGGGGCGTAGCGCAGTTAAGAGTGTAGCGTGGTTTGGGCGTGGCGCAGTTAAGGTGTGGCGTGGTTTAAGGGCGTAGCGCAGTTGAAGTGTGGCGTGGTTTGGAGCGTAGCGCAGTTAAGGTGTGGCGTGGTTTAAGAGCGTAGCGCAGTTAAAGTGTAGCGCACGGTTTGAGCGTAGCGCGGTTAAGGTATGGCGGTTTTAAGGGCGTAGCGCAGTTAAGGGGAGTGTGGCGTGGTTTAAGGGCGTAGTGCGGTTGCAGAGTGTAGCGCGGTTTGGGGCGTAGCGCAGTTAAAATTGTAGCGCGGTTTAAGGGCGTAGTGCGGTTAAGAGTGTGGCGCGGTTTAAGGGCGTAGCGCAGTTAAGGGGCGTAGCGCGGTTAAGTGCAGCGCGGTTTAGGGCGTAGCGCGCAGTTAAGGCATAGCGCGGTTAAAGAGTGTAGCGCGGTTTAAGGGCGTAGCGCAGTTAAGAGTGCAGCGCGGTTTAAGGGCGTAGCGCAGTTAAGAGTGCAGCGCGGTTTAAGGGCGTAGCGCGGTTAAGAGTGTAGCGCAGTTTAAGGGCGTAGCGCGGTTAAGAGTGTAGCGCGGTTTAAGGGCGTAGCGCGGTTTAAGGGCGTAGCGCGGGTTGAGGGTGTAGCGTGGTTACTCTCTCCTACACCTTGAAATACACAGATTAATTTGTAAAGTTCGCCGGAGATTGAGATTCGAATCTTGTGGTGTACTGATGGGACCCGAACTAATTTGAGAGAATAATTTCACTCAAACTACGAACCAATTTCACTGATTCCGTTAAAACTATGAACTCCAGTAACGAGAGTTTTATCCGCCTGTCTAGAACGAACTTCCCCAAAATCAAATCGTAATTAAAAACTTGATTATAGGTGATTTAAAGGTAAGATTCACCTGTGTGGGGGTTTAACTGTAGGATTCAACCTTAAACTAAGTTATTTGGTGAATATCGTATACTTTAAACGTCGTTATCTTAAATTTTGTGGTATATGATAGCAGGTGAGGTAGTGTTGGCTGGTATCGAGTTAGTTGATATTCTCTTTACAGTCGATATCATTCTTGTTACATAGGGGTGAATACTGTAACGATATCAGCTATACACAGTCAAGTCAGTTACTCGGTCAGTCAGTCGTTATACAGTATAGGAATCAATTGAGGTCCATAAGGGCGAGAATTGTTCTGTATAAAGGTTGAATTTTGGTATTATAAACTATCATACCCGATGGATTTTATATACTGAATTATCATACCCTCACCGCACCCTTTTGCCCCCCCCCTCACCACACCCTTTTGCCCCCCCCCTCACCACCCCTTTTGCCCCCCCTCACCCGCACCCTTTTGCCCCCCTCACCCCTTGCCCTTTTGCCCCCCCTCACCTGCCACCTTTGCCCCCCCTCACCGCACCCTTTTGCCCCCTCACCGCCACCTTTGCCCCCCCCTCCACCCTTTTGCCCCCCCTCCACCGCACCCTTTGCCCCCCCCCCTCACCGCACCCTTTGCCCCCCCCCCTCACCCTTTGCCCCCCCCTCACCACACCCTTTGCCCCCCTCACCCTGCCTTTGCCCCCCCTCCACACACACCCTTTGCCCCCCCCTCTGCCCCTTTGCCCCCCCCCTCACACACCCTTTGCCCCCCCTCACCCCACACACCCTTTGCCCCCCCCTCACCCCACACCCTTTGCCCCCCCCTCCCCCACCCTGCCCCCCCTCTACACACCCTTCCCCTACACACCCCCCCCCCCTCACACACCTGCCCCCCCCCTCCCACCACACCCTTGCCCCCCCCCCTCCCCCACCCCCACCCCCCCCTCCCACACCCTTGCCCCCCCCTCCCCACACCCTCCCCCACCCCCCCCTCCCCCACACCCCTTCCCCCTCACCCCCTTCCCCCTCACCCCCTTCCCCCCTCCCACCCCCTTCCCCCCCTCCCACCCCCTTCCCCCTCACCCCTTCCCCCCTCACCCCACTCACTTCCTTCCCCCTCCACTACCTTCCCCCTCCCTCTCCCTCACCCCCCTTTCCCCCCCTCACCTCACCCCCCTCACCCCTTTCCTCCCTTCGTTCATTATTGACTTTACTCAATATATATATCTTACAATGGTGTTATGAGTCGAATTTACTCACAAAATCTCCAATAAAATGCTATGGTAATTTATGAGTTATTTACATTTCAGCTTTGTGAGTAAAGAAGAAAATCACCAAAGTTGTACTCCTAAAACTCAGGTGTGAAGGTGGTGCTAATTAACCTCTCCTAATCACAGGTGTTTTAATCGGCGCTTGTCAAATGTGGATTACCTGGAGATTAGTGCCCACCAGCTTATTTTAATTGATGGTTGAAACCTCTATAACATTACTTGTGTGAGTTGGATTAGATGGGTTAGTTTAGATTAAGCTAGGATAGGTTAGGTTGGATAAGATTGGGACACATTAGATTAGGTTGAAGCTGGATTAGGTTGGATAAGGTTGGGACAGATTAGATAGCTTGAAGCTAGGTTAGGTAGTGTTAATTTAGCGTGTTAAATCCTCGGGTTAAATAAGCACAAGAGTTAACATACTCCTCAGGTGAACTAACGGAAGGCCACTTAATATTCCCTTGGCGTAAGAGCGACACGTTATAACCCCACCTCTCACCCTCCCCACTACCCCTCTCCACCCCCCTCTACCACCTCCCTCCAGCCACCTCCCTCTCTCCACCTCCCCTACTACCCCTCTTTCCACTACCACCCATTTCTCTCTCCCCCTCCCACCCACCCATGACCTATATCAGTCTAGGCTCCCTTGGTAGTGTTCACCTGATATGGGCTTGGGTGTTTACTCAGGTGGGCAGCAGAGGGACCGGAAACCCATCTCATGAAGCTCGTTCCCATGGTTAGGTTAGGTAGTAGTGCCAGAAGACATCTTACCTCACTAGTTTAGACATCTTCCCTCACCACTATAGACACCATACGTCGCCACTATAGACACCATACGTCGCCAGTAGACATCTATGGCCTTATCTTAAAGCCTCCCTGGAATGTAGTCGTCAAAGGGGGTCATTATATAGCGTAAACTACTATTATACTTTATCAGGTGGGGGGGGGGTCGTTCAGGTAGATAAGCCCATTACGTAATTAACTCCATAAGCTGATAGTGAC